GGGTCCGAACTAGCCGGCATTTAAAAATGGCGCCGGCCGGCTTCATGCAAATGAAGCCCGGGAAATTCAAATCCCAGGCTTCATTTGCAACTGCAGATGACTACATTACCCCCCCAGTTCGAACTAGGGGGGTAGTGTAGACATACCCTTACAGAACAAGTATGAGTTGGCCACAGTGATCCATGCTCTTGTTACATCCCGACTGGATTACTGTAATGCACTTTATGTAGGGCTGCCTCTAAAGAGCCTTCGGAAATTTCAACTGGTCCAGAATGCAGCTGCTCGAGTTTTAACTAACAGTAGTTATACAGAGCACATTATGCCAGTGCTTCGGCAGCTACACTGGCTTCCAGTATGTTTCTGGGCACAATTTAAGGTTTTACTTATGACCTATAAAGCCTTAAATGAGTTGGGTCCAGGGTATCTGAAGGACCGTCTTCTCCCATATGAACCTGCCCAGGGATTGAGGTCAGCTGGGGAGGCTTTGCTTCGTGTTCCCCCACTTGTGGAGATAAGTTAACATCTACACGGAACAGGGCATTCTCAGCTTTTGCTCCCAGGCTGTGGAATTCTCTTCCTCAGGATATTTGCATGGCGCCAACACTAGCGTTGTTTCGGCGTCAGGCTAAAGCCCCCTTTTTATTCGTGCTTTTATTAATGTTTGAGTCTGCATATGTGTGTTCCTCCTCTCTTTATGTTTTTAGTTGATTGTGTCCTTCTGAGGTCTCATATTTTAAATTCTTATATTTTAAATTTCTATATATATCTGTATTTTTTTTGTTTGTTCTTGTAATCCATATTTTAAGTAGGTGGGGTAAAAATATTTAAATAACTAACTAAATAAAATAACTCTTGTGCCCTCCTTCCTCCAGCACAGCACTCCACCATCTCTATGCATCTAGAGCAGAGAGAATACAGGTGCACCAGCAGCAGACACAATTTTCTACACTCTGGGTACTAGTGGTGCCCCCCCACAGTCCTGGTAAGGCCAGCCCTGATTTCTGTGGCACCATCCTCCCTGTTTGTTGTTTTAACTCTCTCCCATGTATTTTTTGCCACTTCACTTTGCACACACAGAGCTTCCTCTCCCCACTGTGGTTGAAATTTTTTTTTCTGGAGGGGCACATCCCTTGCTGGAGCAATAAGACATTTGGGCATCTCTTCAAATACAATAAACAGACCAGGCTGGAATATGAAACACAGTGTCCCAATCTGCCGCAGAGTGGATTGTTACACAGGGACCTCTGGCCCAGCACTGAGATGCAGCCACTTCTGGGGCAGAGCAGCCAATTACAGAGGGACCCCATAGCCATGGCAGTGCAAGGGTCCTAGCATACCTGCCATCTTCCTAGCGTGCGGTGGCATTGGCCATGCCTCCCTGCATTACAGCATATCTCCACTAGAGGGCAGCTCTGGGTTGGCCCTAGTGGCTGTGGGGGAGGGGCAGCACTTCTTTTTCCCACTGACTGGCATTCCGGGGATGGGAGGGCACAGCCAGGACCTTGGATCCATGGGCACGGGGGGCACCTCTGGGTGCAAATCCCACAATGCTGATGAATTTCACCCCAGCCCTGCCATGCACCCCTGAGATCCTACTCCCCTGGCTGCTCATGAAGTTACCATAACCCCCCCACTCAGGGTACCAGCTTTTAGGAGTCCCCCCTGCTCTAACCCACCAGTCCCCACTCCCCTCCGAGAGCCAGGGAAAGCAACCAGGAGTCCTGGCTCCCAGCCTGTCCATGTTGCCCCACCCCAGTGCTAACCCACAAGACATTCCCCCTCCTCCTTCAGCACTGGGGAATGCTCTAACCAGTAGATTTTGTTCCCAGAGCTAGGGAGAGAATCCAGGAGGACGAAGACCTGGACCTCATGCTAGGTTCACACTGAAAGCATAGTTTTGCAGTGGGTTGCCTATGTGCTGTGTTTTTCAGTAGAGTCAAATACAAATTTCAAGGTGAACAGCCAGAGGAAAGAGCAGGTGTGAGGTATAATTCTGGAATAATATTTTGAGAAGGAATTGGAGGGACTCTGGATTTACATGATTGACTCAACTGGAGTGGAACTGAGTTCAGAATCTAGCCTGCTATGATTCCCATCCCTCCAAACATTTTCATTCCTCCTTAGGATATACATGTCTCCAGTTCCATGTTATTGTCCTAATCCAAGGATGGGCAATTGTCCTGGGAGATCCCTCTCACTC